GTAAAATAAACAGGCACAGTCTTCTCACTGAAATTCTTTTTTTTTTTTTTTTTTATTGTAGTGTAGGACCTACGAACACTTGTCTTTTTCTTTTACCCACGAACCCCTTGTAAGGCTTTGCGAACCCCTGGGGGGTCGTGACCCACAGGTTGAAAAACACTGAATTAAAAGATATCATCTAGGTAAGCATTTATATTTTTGGTGTCAACAGGTGGCGAGGGGCAAGACACGTACGTATACGAGATAGGTAACCTTGCGGCGTGGTCGGCGAGATACGCAGTGCATGTGTGTGAACTTGTATATTATGTAGATGTAGAAATCCCCCCCCCTTCGCAGGGGAGAGGGACAAAATTAAGGCTTACCGTGAAGCACTTGGCTTCTATTACACTATTTGAGATGCGGTTTTTTGCGTTTTTGATTGTGTTTTAATAGGGTATGTCAAGAGAATGTACACTAGAAGGGATTTTTTAAAATTCCTTATTGTGGGGAGTGTTATACGTTTATAATAGATACATTTTGAGCCACTGCAACGCATGGCCAGGTACAGCTAGTATTTCATAAATTGGATTTGTTTGGACATATGAAACACTAAAGATCTAGGTGGAAATAATATTATGCACACATGAATCATTATAAATATTGATTTTATGTAATAATGTGTTCATTAACATTTTTGCAGGTTTTATCAATCAATCATAATGCAGTATAGTTGTGCATTGTATCAACTTCAGACTGATTAAAGAGGATGCACTGATACAAAACATAGTAATATTTTCACAGTCAGATTGCATATAATTTATGACATTTTTATAACTTGTAAAAATTTGATAATTTTACACCATTCTGGTCCTGTAAGTGCCAGATTAACAGGCTTCTACTGTACTATATAAATTACTGTATGTTCATTTTTCTGAAACATATTGGAATTCTATTTTTTTTTAAAGATACTTTCTTGAATTTAAATAAAGTACTTGAATATTTGCAATATAAGCAAAAACATTGCTTATATTGAAGTACAATTCAAGTTGTGTAAGTATGTTTATTTTCCCCTTTTTATGTAGTGTACTTTATATTGTCAAGTAGAGTTTTGACCCTTGATGATTGCTTTTTTCCTACATTTATACTGAATGCACAAAACAAGAATGATGAGTAAACATAATTTACTTCTAGTCATTTTCTACAGATGTCAAAAAGATAAATTTGTTTAATAATTATTCTGAAAATATCAATCTTGTTGTTTGAACAAATGTTAATTTAAACATATCAATTTAAATTTATTGTTTTTAAGTATACACATTTAAAATAATTTAAATAACTTTTTGAATTTAAGTTAAAATTTCTTAAAAAATTTAGTGAATATTTGTAATTCTTAATTTTTTTTTCTTTCTTATTTTATTTCTAATAAATACAATGCTTTTGAAGCATAATATACATAATATACAATAATTACTGTCAGTGAACTAAAATATTTACAGTAATAAACAATATTCTGTGAACATTATTTAAAATGGCTATTACTCATGATTATATTCTCAGCATAATAGTTCTCAATATAGTTATATTATGATAATGATGATAAAAATAAATAAATCTTTTATTAGTTGGTAAGACTGATTTAAAAATTAAAATTTTTGTATTTTGTCTTGAAATTACTTTTTATTTCACATTATTTAAAATTTATTTATCCAAAATAGTATTATATTCTGTTCTAATATTATTGTTAATAATAATTTTTTTAATGATATATCATGTTACATATTGTACTGTCTTTTTTTTTCCTCTGTTGTAGTTTTTAATTTATATACCCTTTTTTTATTATTTGTAATTTTTTTAAAATATTTGTTTTATATTTGTATTTACAAAATTCAAAAATGCTAGTGAACTTAAAAATTTAGTAGTTAAAAGTAATGGCAAGATAACGATGTAATAGTTTTTGTAATTACAACTTTTTTATTATAAAATTTAAGAGAAAATAAGTATGAATTATATAACACAATGATGATTTATGACTAAACTTAGTACAACATAAAACAGAAAAGCAATTCATCTTAAAATAAAATTAACTAAAATTAGTTAATGCAAAATTAAATATAAAATTAATAAAATTAATAATTTTATCGTACTAGTGTGAACCGCCAGGGAGGTTGGGAACTGTTGACTCTCCCTGTATGGACAACAGGTCGTTAAACCTGCTCACTTGTCAAGATGGCTAAAGTTTTTCTTATTGCCGGTCCCCAGGGTCAGGGATGCTCAAATGTCAGGCGAGTGGAGGGAGCGTATTTGGGGTCGATGATAAGGTGAAGGACATAAACAAGTAAAGGAGTCTACCATTTTAACAAGAAAAAAATAAGAATTTACTGAAATAAACAAAATCGACAAAAAGACTACACAAATCTATTTCTAGACCGCCTAACAGCTCGAGAGAGAGTGTACATACTTTTCATACCTCTTTGTATGGTTCCTAGGCGAGTAAGTCCATGTAGGCACTTAATTGTTCAATAAAAGGTGGTTTTAATCCAAATGCACAATTATAAAAAATTCACGACTTTAGAGATGATCAGATCTCGATGATCGTAGATCGGAATGTCAGCGGGTTCAAAGAATCGGCACGATGTCGTCGGTCCGGCTTTCGTTAAGAGACTCCCCCGAGAGGGGGTAAGAACTGTCTTTTATAGCTTTTTGCGGGGAATTTCCATCACGTGATCAGATGTTCATGAGCTAAAGTTTATAGGTGTTCCAGGGACCTAAACTAAGTGATGAAAGTTGGATGCTAGCTATAAACTTTTGTGCAAGACAAGCTGCAAGTTATGTAGAGAACAATAGATGTTGATAGTTATGACAGGAAGGTTTACACATTTCAGGCTAAGATTGATTTTTTTTTCTTCTAATTCGTTACATAAACGAAAGTGAATTAATTAAAATTTTAGTTAATAAAAGAGCAGAATTTTTATTAACTAAATTCCGGATCTCGCACTAGTATTCAAAATATTTTTATTATTCATAAAAAGATATTATATTGAATTTTATAGTTTTGAACAGAACTATCTGTAAAAATGAAGTTGCAAATATCTTTTGCTTATTTTTATTTTGTTAGGGTAAATATCTAAAACCTCTTTTTCTATTGACAGATTTATAATGCTTATCTGTTTTATTATCATATTATAAATGATGATTTGGACTGTGATGGTATCATTTACAATATAATGTAAAATTATTTCATAAAGTTAGCATAGTTAACTTTCAAATGTTTTACAAATTCAAAGTATTAGTGATAAAACAAGTTTTTAAATAATATTTTTACCTTTTAACTTAAAAAAGTAATATACCTAATTTACTTTTGAATGCTTGAATTAAAATATATATTATCTTATAGGGTGTCGGTATATCTGTTGAATTTTGTTCTCATTTAACACGTTGCTTTGCCATCAGTCCAGAACCCACTCGTTCAAAACGATCTGAAGATGCCTTGAGACGAATGGGAAGTTCTGTAAGTTATCATTTTTTTATTTATTACATTATTCTAGTATTTGTAACATTTTCATTTTTAACATTTTTTTTTTCCTTCATTTGAAAATGGTTTAATTAGATAATTATACTTTTTGATGCCTTATAAAGATATGTAATAGTTTTATAAATAATCAAATACTAAATATTTTCTCTTTCTGAGAAATATGTATAAATTATTAAAGGTTACCAAATAAAAGGTTGAAATTTTCAGGTCAAACAAAAGCTAATTTACATTAAATTATGATCTGTAAATTTAAACTTTATATAAATACAGTATGTTAACCAGATGATGAGATAGTAAAAGCACCATTCTGTCACTTGGGCTAGGTTTAGATTAAAATTTAGCATAGTTCAAATTTTCGTAAGTGTGTTGGCCCAGATATGCTGTGCTTCATTCTTCAATTAGCCACCTGTTCCATTGTGTATCTAATCAAACCCACACGAAAAGGTCTTCTTAGCATGTGTATGAGAAGAGGTCTTCTTAGCATATACAAGACAAAGAATTTTACAGAATTCCACCATATAAACTAACTTTGCTACTTATATTAATTACTTGTGAGTTTTGAATTTAATTAAATTCTGATTATGTCTATTCCCAAGTTTCAGAATGTGTTTTTGACTTCTGCCACATGAGGGCATATGTCTCAATAGCATTCAGTTACTGTTAGTTGTTAGTATAGGCTTACAATTTCTCTTTTGGTGACATGCCTTATAAAACCAATTCAGGCAGACATTGTGCAGTGGTTGGCTGCCATAATAGCCAGAGAATTCTTTATAAGTGATTTGAAACTGTATGCAATGTACTGTACACTAAAACATGATTCATCAAGATTGTCCATTCCAATTATGTTCATTTCCATGTGATGAAAATTTAAGAAGTGACTGGTTAGCCAAATTGAATGTATAATACAGGTAGATAAAGAATTTTTCCATCATTAGAGACACAAGTCCATAAAAAATGATTACTTACAGATAGGATTTGTGAAGGCTCTACATTTGTGTTAAGGACAATTTAGTAATTAATATCTTACCTACTTTACCACATGGAAAAGAATTACAAGTTAAGATTCCTGTAAGTATGCATTTCTTGGTAATCATAGGTTTTATTCTAATTAAGTATTCAAATTAAGCTGGATATTCCAAATATGGCTATGTAAGATGTATTTTCAACAGAAGAAAGAAGTAAATATGCTGCAACTTATGAAATTGCTACCAAAGTCTCCTATTGAGACTCTGGCACCTCTTTGGGTCTCTGTGGACAGACAGATTTGACAACAACTCTGGCATCTATATATGCTGCATGGCATAGCATCTCTTCTACTTACTCTGATGAACTGTTGGAGTCTATACCACAAGTTTTGTTAAATTCTCGTATTTGGTTGCTGTTGACACCTGTAAAAGCATGCACTAGTCACAATATATGTAAACTTAAGTTATCATGTATTTTATTGTTGTCTTAAACTTTATCAATAATGTATGAAGTATAAGTAATAGATATGTATTATATCAATGGTGTGGTTTTCTTTATATTCTTTTAAAAGGTCAATTTTTCAAAAATATTTCCTCAAAAATTGATGAAACTTTATGGGTTAATTCCACAGAAATAACCGCCATTTTTATGCCTGGACTGCATTTAATCAGAGATAAAAGCTTATCTTTGTATTCTTTATTTACTTATTTACTATGCATTTCAGGTGCAATATTTTTGTGTAACTTGCACCCCTCTTCAGGTTTTACATTTCTGTTTTATGTTTAGACATATCATCTGCCCAGTGTTGATGTTGTGTCCCCGATGCAGTGTTGATGCTTTTGTCTCTGATTAAATGCAGTCCAGGCAAATAAATGGTGGTTATTTCTGTGGAATTAACCCATAAAGTTTCATCAATTTTTGAGGAAATACTTTTTTTTGAAAAATTGACCTTTTAAAAGTGTATGAAGTGTTGTAACATACTGTATTTAAAAACATTAATAAAAACATAATTAAATAATGACAATTGAAATGACAAAGGTACAGTTTTAACAAAGCCTAAGAGAAATTTTAATGAACTAGATAACAAGGTTAAGAATTAATATTATCATAATGTATTTTCTGTTTATTTTTCATTAAAAGCATCTTTATCATATTAGAAAAATTTTTTTATTTAAAATTAACAGAATAATTATACCAAGATTACTATTAACATTAGTCTTAAATGAAGATGATGAAAATAAGACAACTAATACAATGGTTTCTTTTTCAGATTTTATCTGGAATTACATTAACAGATTGTGGAATTCTTGTTCTTGCTTTTGCCAAGTCCCAAATATTTCAAGTATTTTATTTTAGAATGTATCTTGGAATAATTGCTTTTGGCACATTGCACAGTTTAATATTTTTACCAGTTCTTTTGAGTATTATTGGTAAGTCATTTTTAATAGTACCTGTACATNTGGAAGATCAAAAGCAGCATTTTTGGCATATTTTGCTCTTTTATTACCGAAAAGGTAAGAATGCTATTGAAGCAAACTGCTAAATAACAACACATGAAATCACTAAGAGATTAAATCTGTCAAATTGAACTGCTTATGATTGCTTGAAACAAATTGGTTTCGTTTCAAAGCTTGATATATGGGTTCCACATGTTCTTAAAGAGATGCTGTCTTTGGTGAGATTTTAAGGAAATTTTTTTTGGAGCTTTTACCAGACAATTTAACAACTGATTCAAAAGTGTACTGCCATTGAGTAAACAAATTGAGTAATATCATCAAACAGAAAAGGCAGCCAGAATTGATACACCTAAAACACTACACCTGTTTTAGGTGTAGTGTTTTATCACGATAATGTCAAATTTCACACAAGTTTGGTAACTCGTCAGAAACTGTTATAACTTAGATGGGACATGCTATCACACCAACAATATTCGTCAGATTGAGCACACTCAGATTATTATTTGTTTCAGTCTATACAAATTTTTTTTAACTGTAAGACATTTACTTGAAATGACAATGTCAAAAATCGCTTGGATCAGTTTTTTGTAAGCAACGATCAAAACTTTTATGAATGTTCATAGAACTGCAGTAATTAAAACATTTTAATCACTGATACTGATTAATGTCATCCAGTGGCAAATTTTGAAATTTAGCAAAAATGTTTAAATTTTAGTCTTTAATTTGAATTTGTACTAGGTTAAATTTACAATTTAAATGATAATTGTGTGTTAATTATACAGTATATACAAGATTCCTTATGTATCACTTTTATAAAGTGCATTATGCTGAAATTAAATTTTCAACATGAGACAAAAATTTAAGTAATTATTTTCAGATTTGTAGAAAGTAGAATTGTCTTTGAACTAAAAAATAACAAATAGTATAATACTTTTGTATGACTTTACCAAACAAGAACCGAACCTATTTTCGTGCTGGTTTGGTTCTTGTTTGGTAAAGCCTTTTTGGTACTCCTAGAACTAAGGAAAGCCATATGGTGATAGAAGATATTAAAATTAAAAACTTGACAGCAGGTTAATCATGTCAAGATTAAAATGCTTGTAATTTCCAAGGTGTATATTCATTGAGGATTGTTGTTTTATTTTGTTTTAGCTTTGAGTAATCTATTATGATTCTTTATTTCTATTTTCAATATATAAGGTGTTTGCAAATGATTGAGTGCATTTCATTAAAGAATTATAAATAAACCAAACAACTTAGGAAGATGTACTACATATCAAATCATTCAGCAGCTCAGTTTTTATCAAAAATGTTTGCCCTTAGAAGACTTTAACCTGGACTTCATTTGTGATGAGAACAAAATCAAATCAATATTCAATTTCTCACTGTGTTTCCTAGTATTTCTAGAGTAACTGTTTGGATTACTTCCATAATTTATCGTTTAAGTTAACTAACATCAATTATAAAAGCAATCCAAATAGTTATTCTAGAAATACTAGGGAACATCCAACCAATATTTTATTTCTCACTGTGTGTTGTTTGAGTCACAAATGGAACCTATATTAGTCTTCTAAAGGTGAGTATTTTTGATAAAAACTGTTTGAACTGCTGTATGATTTGATATGTAGTACATCTTTGTAAGTTGTTTGAATAAATTTCAAATTAATTATTTGTAAATACCCTCTATTTTTTAATTTTTTGATTTTCTTTGTTAAACTCTATAAATTATGTAAATCATGTGATTAAAACTTTTTATATGATTTTAAATGTCTAGATGGCTTAATATTTAATTACAACAGCGAACATAAAGGCTATGGACAAATTATATGTTAATTCTGACTACAGTAAAGCATCGATTATTCGACTCAATTGGGGACTCAGGTTGGTCGGATAACTGAAAAAATTGGATAACCGAAAAGAAGGAAAAAAAATACATTATTAGTATAGTATATTAGGATATTAGTATATCCCATGTAATTAGTTTATTAGTATATTGCTATTAACCAACTTCGCGTTGAATTTTCATCAATGTTTAGCCTAACAAATTTTTTAAAAATAATAATTGTCACTATTGTATTGTTAAAAATTATTGTTAAATTATTTTATTGCTCACGAAACAAACAACCACTCATAATTAGAAAATTAAGTCTCGTTTAAATATTGGCCTCCCTTCAATGGTCGAGCCGTTGATGCCAGCTAAAACACACAAAAATTTAACAAAAATAATAATAAAGTAGCCAAGACATAGCCAAATATTGTAATCCCACATCACTAGCGGACATTTGAAATTTGCTGACTAGAATGGTCGGTTAATCAGGGGTCGGATAATCGATGCTCTACTGTATTTTAGTTTTTCTTAAACATACATTATACAATAAACTTTATTGTGTTTTGAAATGAATACTTTGTTGTTGTTATTACAAACTTTGTGATTAAAATTTTGATAAATAGCATTCAATTTTTTTTTTATTAAGTATGAAAAATTCTCAGTAGTACCAGTACTACTAAATAATAGCAAGCACAAAAGTTATTGTTTTTGTTGTTAAAAAATTTAAATTTCATATTTCATTACACCATTACTAAACCTTTAATTCTGGTAATATAGCATTTAATACAATACTGTATTGAACTATGTTACTGGAAATAAAAGTTTAGTAATGGTGTTCATTGATACTGGTAATTAAACTAGAAGATATTATTATTTCATTATATCTAAAAAAAATTCAAACTTTTGTCTAGTTCTAACAAGACTGGTGTTTACACTTTTTTCTACATTTAATTATTTAATATTTCAGGCCCTCCAGTAAATAAACAGAAAATGTATGATCATATTCATCTAGAAGATTTGCCATCACAAGGAAAAATTGAAAACACTAATGTAAGTAATTTCCAAATATTGAATAACTACAAAATTTCTATTTTTTTTATTTTAGTTTTTATTGTTTTTTTAAGACACATTTTTGATAATTATGCAAAATATAAAAGAAATACATCAGACAGTTGTGGAAAATTAAATATTTATAAAACATATATAGATACCATTTGGTCTAATTATAATAATTGGTGACGACAAAAAATAGGGCAAAGATGTACATTATTAGTTTTTAGAAGCATAATTCATGTAATAAACTAGTTTTTTAATATATTCATCTACTTGAACTACAGTACAGCATCGATTATCTGACCCCCGATCAATCATCACATTGGTTAACAGACCGCATTCTAGTCGGCAAATTCAAATGTCTGCTAGTGATGTGGCGCTACAGTATTTGGCTATGTCTTGGCTACTTTAATATTATTTTTACATGTTTTAGCTGGCAACACTGGCTCAACCATGAAAGGGAGCGAGTATTTAAACGACGCTTAATTTTCTAATTTTTAATGATACAATAGTGATGATTATTATTTTAAAAAAATTTTTGTTAGGGTTAACATCGATGAAAATTCAATGCAAAATAGGTTAATAGCGATATATTAATTACATAGGATATACTAATATACTATACTAATAATGTATTTTTCCATATTTTTCGGTTATCCGTTTTTTCAGTTATCCGACCAACCCCAGTCCCCAATTGAGTCGGATAATCGATGCTCTACTGTATTTTCAGATTTACAAGATTAAATGGAATGTAAAAAGCATATCAAAATAATTAAAATGATTTTTTTTTAACTCACCTTATATTATGTTATATTTGTAGGAATGTAATATAGTTGCTTGAGAAAATTAAATATTTATAACAATAAAATAATTATATTTCAAATTTTTCAAAAGTAGTAGTATTAAGTAGATCAAAAATGTTTGTATTTCATCTGCATTAAACTAGACAGGAATTTCATTTATAAGGTTGATTGATTTGCCTTTAGTTCATAACATGCAATTATTAGTCTTATCAACTATGTATTGAGGCTGATAACATAAATAGGAATTTTTAAGTAATCTGCTTATTATTGTTATTACTTTCAGATAAAAAATATTTTATAAATCAAATACTCTAAAACATTTAGTTCTTCACTGGGTTATGTTAAAAACAAACATTTTCAATCTATACCTAAAATTTACTTCAGGTCCTTTTTGTTCTCTATTCTATATTGGAATATTTGAAAAAATGATGACAAATTATGAATTTAACCCTCATCTTGGCATATGTATCCAGAAAATATGGTGTTTTTTTCTTATGAATTTCTCAAAAATAAATAACAGTTGAACTGCAGGCTTTGTATTAGTTCTCAACTAATATGTTCTGAAGTGAAGTGATAGCAGTTTTCAAGTTTAAGTCTTTCAGAGAAATTTAATGAAAAACAATACCATACTACCACCTGCAGTAAATTCTCTCACAGCATGAGAGTGCTGTACTCTCAATTGTTGCACATAACAATCATGATTCAATAAAATAACAATGTAGAATATTTAAACTTTACCACAATACTCTACTTTTTATCTTAGTTTCAATGATCAAACCAATACCAATTCATTTCAAATGGACCACCGCAACTGTTTTTGACAATGTGATTTTCTCGCTTCAGTGTTATTGCCTGGCTTTCTCACAATCAGAGCATGATAAGAAATCTAATACTTTCAATTTTGCAACAATTAAAATTTATGTTCATTATGTAGCAATACCATTTGTAATTGTGACCCAAACATTTATTTGGTAATTTTATTAATATTCTTTAAATTATTAAGCTTTAAATTTACTCATTTGACATCATGTAGTAAATTGCTGAATTCTTGGTGATCCATGTGTTATTTTTTCGAGTGGTTCATTTTCCATATAGAAAACATTCCTACATAAACAATCATCAACAAATTTTGATATTTTTTTGTAATATTTTGAGCAATGTTTATTTTTGAAATTATGTATGTGATTTTTGAAATGTGTGCAACTATCTTGCAAAAAAAAAATAAAATTACAGATCTCATTACTGGCAACCCTAGTTGTTAAATCTAAAAGAAAACATTCCCCTGAGAGCAAGAGAACAATCTGTCATTTGACCCACTATTGACAAAGAAGGGAGTTTTTTTGAGAACAAGATGATAAAACATTATAGCAGTTTGTTGATCTTCTCAGTGTATTATTTTTGCAGGCAACAATAAACAAAGCTTTACTACTCTGAACTTGAAAGATAACACAGTCCTGTAAAATATAAAACATCTTATGTCAATAAGTGAAAATTGAAATGATTTATAGTGAGTTGAAATTTTGATAAGTTTGTTTCTTGCATTTACAGATCAAATTACAAAAAATATATATAAAGTTTTTTTAAACCCACAAGTATTTTATATTCAGGGTTCCTACGCACCTGGAAAGTCAGGGAAAATCAGGGAAAGTCAGGGATTTTCATTATTTTTTGAAAAAGTCAGGGAAAGTCAGGGAATTTGTCAAAAATTGTCAAAAAGTCAGGGAATTTGTCGAAAATTGTCAAAAAGTCAGGGAATTTGTCTCCTTAACTGCGTTGTTGATTTGGTTTGCTGAATATAGATGACCAATCATAGCCATACGCAGGCGGCAAGAAGTAATGCTGCAATCTTTAAAACCCGAGATAACTCGGGAAAGTTCCATAGCGTTATATAAAACTCGGGCATTTGGGCCCTCCGAAAAAATTTTTGTTTTTTTTGGATGTTTTTTAAGTCTCCAAATTTTTTCAAAAATTTTTTCCCGCGCGAAAATATTTTATCGCGATTTTAATATACCTTTAATGACGCACGATTAACTCTTAATTGTTTTTTAATGGGAGTTTTTTTTATCAAATTTCATTCATCGTTCTAAAGTAGTAGTGCACGGATTTTACTTCGATAAAGTTATTTAAAGCTAGTTTCTGATGTCAAAAACGACCTCCAATAGTTTTTTAATTTTTTTAAATTAATATATTTTATTATATATACGTTTAATTAAGTCGGGGGGTCGGAAATCGCAATAAAAAAACGTAATTTTTGAAAAATATTTAAAAATATACGGCCAGCTAGTATTCACTCTACTTTAAACCCTTCTCCTCCCGAGACTTCTATGAGAATGTCCCGGGAAATCCCAACACCAGCTGTTCTCCAGGTCATCCAGCTGTAAACACAATGACTCATCGGTGTCAGATTTCACAGAAAGGCGAGACAATGGAAAATAAAGTTTGAAGCTTTTTCTTCAAAATTAACGCATTTCTTTCGTTTTTTTCCCAGTTTTAAATATTTTTTATGTTTAATTACATTAATATTAAAAATTAGTGGGTAGCAAGGGAGTTAATTAATAACAGGATAAACTACTTTTATGTAATAGTGTTTAATTTTTAATTTTAGTAATTCAGCGATTATAAAAAAATGAAATTGTTTATTAGAATAAAAAATAACTAATTAAAAATTTGTTTGCAAACTTTTAAAAGTTGAAATCGTAATTTATTAGAATGTTCACTTCAAAATAGCTAAACAGATCAGTAAAAATCTGTAATTTAATCGTTTTTCAGTTTAAAACATAAAAAATTATAAATAGTTACCCGACGTTTACAGTAAAATACTGGCGCTGACTTGTTGTTGGCACAAGCTTTTTATATTTGTTGTTACGATTTTCCTTGAATGTACTGTACTGCAAGCATATTTTCCCTCTCTCTTCCGTTTTTTTCCGCAACTTCGATACATAGTTTAATAATTAGTTAACTGAAATGACATTGGGTAACAAATATCACTGATTTTGGCAAATTTAGGGCTTAAAAACTGGCAAGATTGATCATGCTTGTAATAAATATTCTGTAGTTATATTTTCGAAAATCAACAGGTAATCCGATAGTTTAACCAATGTTAACTTGCTTATAATTAAAATTTAAAAATTAAAAAGCTGTAAATTTAAAAAAAAATAATTACATTACTAAAAAATTAAAATAAATTTGATTATTTTTTGTGCGAAACAACACCAAAACAATTTTTATAGTTATGTTGCAAAAGAAAGAGATTTGTAGTTACGATTCTCTGCGCTGAACTTCTATATTTTAATAACGTATAATTGTAATTTCGTTTGTTGTTTATTTCTGTATTTATTTTATTTTATAAGTTTTAAGAATCCCAATTTTCGTAATACTATGACTTCATAGGAATACAAGTGTGAGGTTCCGGAATTGTCCGGAACTAAAATAGAAAAACGTAAAATAATTTAATTATTAGAGAAAAAAAGGAATGAACAGAAATTTTTTATAGAAACTTGAGAAATAGTCTAGACCCGTGTTTCTCAACCGCCGGTCCGCAACTCTAATCTGACCAGTCCGCGAAAACTTTAAAAATATATACTTAACCTTCCATGCGTTGTTCTCAAATAGGAAATATGTGGATTATTAATCCGTTTATTGATAGCAAACTAATAGATTGAACGACTTTGAATACGAAAAACTAATCAAATTAAGTTCAGACTTGGGATTTAAAACATTGTTTGAATCAATGCCCATAACACAGTTTTGGATTAAAGTTAAATCTGAATATCCAGTTTTACATAAAAAGGCAGTTAGGATGTTACTACCTTTTTCAACAACGTACTTATGTGAATCAATGTTTTCAGCAATGGTAATGATAAAATTGAAACAACAAAATCATTATAGTATTAGTTCTGCCTCACGCCTTGCAGTTACCGCCTTAACTCCAAGAATTGATGATCTTACTAGCAAAAAAGAAAAGCAGCGATCACATTGATTTGTATACTAATGTACTGGTAAATAAAATAACAAATATTTATTGCTCAATGTAGTTTGCAGTTCTTTTTACAACAGAGAATTTTTTTCAATTAAAAATAATATTGTCACTGGTCCACTTAAAAAAAGCAGATATTTTCCGGTCTGCGATGAGTTTTGGGTTGAGAAACACTGGTCTAGATCATCCTTTCTCAAAGTGGGTGATAACGCCCCTTTGCGGGCACTGGAGGCTTTCATGGGGGCAGTAGAAGGCTCAGTGATTAAATATGAGTTTTATTTCTTCTCATCAAAACATTCTTTGATCTCAGAAATAGGATATGGGTCACACCCTATCTATCCTATCCATATAATAATGCATGTTTAAACATTATATTTGCAATAACTGTTTTTAAGATATGCAACAGATGGTAATGTAAAAAGGTTAAAAAAAAGTTACTCTTTTTGTTGAAAGATTGATTTTAAAATTATGTGTTTCTAAATCAAGAGTTCATTTTAAGCACAGTACAGTACTATTTGTTTATCAAAGAATAATTTTTGTTGATTTTATGTTACCTTGTATTTACTAGATTTACATACAAATAATAATGATAAATGATGATAAAATAAAAAGCTTGTGTTTTGTTTGTAAATTGCTTATTTTTTCATTACATTGAAGTTGTGGATTCTATCAAACATTTTTCTACAGGATGTATGTACTGTATTTTTTTAATGTGGCAGTCTTTGAAGCATATCAACTGTGCAAAAAGAGGGCTAAATGTACTCAATGTTAACAGTAAATGCTGTTTTATTATGTCGATATTCCACACTAAAAAATGTGAGGGTCAGGGAATTTGGACAAAGTTGGTCAGGGAAAGTCAGGGAATTCAAAACAAAAATTTGAGTAGGAACCCTGTATATTGTTAGAAATCGAAGATATAATTGTAGTCAAGCATATATATCTGTAAAAATATAAAAATTGCATTAATTTACATTATATGTTCTGTGGATACACATGCCCCAAGTGAGCTCTTATGCCGAGATAAGAGTTAAGAAAACTGTAGATCATAAACATTTATCTTTAACATATTTAATAAAAGACCATAGAAGAACTTTAAAGTTTTTGTAGTGTTTAATTTATTTACATGACAGCGTTGTGAAGTAAACATGTTAAAATTTTTATATATTTTAACTTGTTTTGGGATTGCTAATTTTGATAGCATTAAATGGCTGATAACAGTATCAATGATTACAATAACAGAAGTCTACTGTGATTTCAACTTACATTGTAGATTTTTGAACTAAGGAAAAAATATCTGAATTTAAGCTGCTTTTAAAGCAGTCAATTAGTATATCTGTAAGACTATTCAAAATGTTTTTCCCCCTCTTTCCTACATTTTATATTTTTGACATGTCTTTGAAAGTTTTTATTTTTGTCATTAAAATGTTTACTTTTTGTTCTCCTATTTTTAAAGATTAGATCCTTTAGTGTGTATGTTTACATCATAAGATATTTATGAAATTGATCTTTATCAGACACAACAATATTTAAAAACTCTAATTTTTTATTACTAATTATCCACACATTTTAAAATGATTTTGTATTTCTTTTATACTTAATTTGTTTATTATTAAATTTCTAATATATAAATGAGAGAAAATTGGCTTAGTCATGTATTTGTTACTTTATTTTATTATTTTTTTTTTTTTAGACATCTATGTAACTACAGCAGTACTACCATTTGTAAGCAGTACCTGCATTCATCATTTTTTTTATCATGTAACATTGTGTCCAGCACTATAGTAAACTTTCAAACATGACCAGTAAAATATCTGTGACAAGTGTGTAGTTCTTGTTGCATCATTATAGAAATGTTTTTAACTCTGGTTGAATGCCAGTTAATGAAAAGGAGTTTATATTTTTTCTAAATCAAGAAATTTGAATTCTGTTTTAACATTCTGGTCAGTCAATGCTTAGGGATCATTTTATAAAGGACTCATTATACAGTATTAATTTCTTTTTGCTTTTTTTTAATGAAATTAATTTTATTTTACATTAACTGAAAGTGTTGCTAAAGCTGGATGAGAAGCTGATGATCAATTCCTTCAACTTTAAGACTTTGTTACATTGCTTAGTCTATTTAAAAATCAACACATTTAAGAGATAATCATGTTCAGTCAATGAGAACAAATGATTGATTTGTGATCATTTCCATTGTTCTTGTGCATTTATTACATTTAAAAATGTCACCAGGTTTAGTCAAAGAAATAATTTGGATGACTTCTACAATGTAATTTCTTCAACACTATATAGTATAAAAGTTAATGTTTAATCAGAGGAACGTAGTAAATCTGTCAAATCATAAATGTATATGTATATAGTTAAGATTTCAAGAACTTGAAAATAATCAAACACATTTTTTTATTTCCAAAACAAGGAGGAACAATGAATTATTTAAATATTAATCTTTTTATTAAAATAAAATACTTCAAAATGTTAAGTTAATTATTTGTTTACAATATTATGCACCTTTGTGATTCTGTTTAATGAAATATCATCTACTATGTACATATTCACTTGCTGGAAATTTCTTTTGAATTTGAAATAAAAATTATAAATTAAACATGTTAATGTGTCTGCTTAAGTGATTTTTGTTATTTCTACACACACACACACACACACACTTATTATATTCAAATTTTAATAAACGGAAGTAGAAAAATAATTTTAGTTTCAGTAATATTCTAACCAATTATTTTTAAATTCATATCATATTATTTTTGTTTACAAACTTGAAATAGTCATTCTTAACCAGAAATCAAAATTTTGTTACATTCTCTGATGTATCTAGAATTAAGCATTGTATAACATCATCAAATTATACTGTTTATTAAAAAGAATTTTAAGTGATGAAATCACTTCAAATGTACTCACTTTAGCTACCATAAATCTTCTAATAGATGGCTGGGTGTCTATTGGACAGAATATACTTAATCCTGGCATATATGAGAGTCTGGCCTCTGTTAGAGATCTAATGTCCATTCCATTGCAAAATTTTGCATCCAAACTAATGATAAAAAAAATAGCAAAATAAAATTTTCCGTGTCATGAGATCTGAACCAAAAGGAAAAAAATTTCATGTGTGCACATTTTGCCATTTATTTTGTTTAATATCTCAAGATAGGGTAATCATTAATAAGTGAAATTTGGCATGGTAGCTTGTGTATAAGGGGCATTAATACTATTAAATTTTAGTGGTTCATAGTCAAAGGGATGGGGAGATAAGAGGGTTGGCACCTGTCATATCTCGAGGAGTCAGACATATTGGAAATAATTATTTGTTATTAGCACTTACAATTTTTTTTTATAAAAGTCATTTCTATCTTCCTAATATGTGTTTTGTCATTTTATAATTAATAATATGAGAGATTATCATAAACTTTTTATAACAGATAACGCCCCACACAACTCATTAATACACTGGTGTGCAAAACTTAAGCAACAATTGCTTTTTTGCTGTAACTCCACAAGAAATTGCCTGGGAGACATGAAATTCGGAATACAGGGACAGTATTTTGTACTTAAAGGATAAAGAAAGCATACTAGTACAAAATGAATAGAATGCATATGATATGGAATCAAACAGAAAAAGGCTTTATTGAAAGAGTAGCATTGGTACAAATGATTGTCTGCTGAAGAGGGAGAACAACAAATAGATGTCCCTTACTGCAATGATTGCTTGGCATTGTCTCCATACTCAACACAAGATTATCGAACAGTTTTTGAAGTGCTTATTCCTCAATGAGCATCTGTTTCAGTTGTTGGGTGTTCTCTGGCATATATAATTGTGCCAAAAGGCATCTCCCCAAAGTGTCTCGCACGTTTTATGGGATTTAAATTGGAATTATGCTGGCCAATCCATTCTAGTGATATCTTCACTTTCTAGAAGCTCTTCAACAGCACAAGTCTGATGTGTCTTGGCATTATCATCCATAAAAGTGAAGTCTGCACCAATGGCACCTTGGAACAGACACACATGGGGGAGAATCACTTGCTGACAATAGTGATTTCCAGTAATAGTACCTCTGTGGAAAATTTGGAGCTTAGTCCACCCATTCATTATAATGCCTCCCCAAATGACCACCCAGGACTACTGTAATGGTCTCTTTCCATGATGTTAGTGGGATAAAACTCTCCATATCAACTGGCATTGAGAATCACTTGTGACACTGAAAAGACTCTCATCTGTAAAGAGGACGTGACTCCATTGATGAGATGATGTCTCTGTGTTCCTTACACCTGTCTAAATGTTGCTGCGGATGGGCAGCTGTCAATGGGATGAAGCGTTCAGGATGGCGGGTGAATAGGACACCTTTATGAAGGCGTCTGGCCACAATAAATCACACTTGTCATCCTGTTGCTGTACGCAGCTGCTTGAGCAATGTTGCCCACTGACTGGGATTGATGTGGTTTTGCCTGCAGGACGATATATCGGTCATCCATTATCGTTGTTTTTCTTGGACGACTACCACCAAGCTTTCTTACAGCTGTATCTGGTTTGGAAGGCTTTCCAAGCTCGTGAAACGATTTTTTTTTTTTTTTTGTTGATTTCAAACTCTTGTCCTACACTCGTCACACTAAGCCCCTCCTCAAGCTTGCCGATCATTCTACCATGTGTAAAGTCGTTCAAATGGCTTTTTTCTAACAATATTACACATACAAACTCACTTGAACTTTCAGTGAATGTCTTTAATAGTGCCTTTTGGCCTTCTTTTTATTGTAGTCTTGCACTGCATGCACTAACTGCAAGCAGTTTTCATGCCTTCAGGTCACCTGTGATATCGTCTTCCTGATATTTGCATACGAATCACCTTTCTACTGAATTGGGTATTCATCGTACTGATTGCAACAAGAACTTTTCTACAATTTCATGGCTGTCTGCTTAAAAATTACATCGTCGCTTAAGTTTTGCACGCCAGTGTGGTATGATTAATAATTAAGTATAAGTTATATTTTTAATAAAATCTCATAATAGCCAGGAAAGTTATGCAACTTGTTGCTGGATCTTTTTTTATTTAATATAAAAGCACACTACTACATGATCTTATTACTTTAAACAATTATTACAGTATTGCGGAATTTACATTACATGAATTTTCTAGCCACTGTTATAGCTTCACAGCTATACAAACAGTGCAGTGTTCACACACTGCACTGTTTGTCACTTTCATCTAACTAGGTGAAGATTTCTCTTGCCTTGTCCATCTTGCTGTTCATCATCTGATATGGTTATTTTTCTCTTGTTGCTCACAGATCCATTGCAGAACCTTTTCTTCTAATCTGTGCCCTCCTCCTGCCAGCCTATTTGTTTCACGCTTATTCCTGATAACCTTAAGAGTACCATGCTTGCTTCTCTATTTGTAAACTCACTTTGGATACATTTTGAATTTCCAAGTTGCTGCTTCTCCTGTGTTCTTTTGTGTATGCAACTGCATTCAGTTTGAAGGCAATGCTGTAAGACCTGTTGGTTGCCATTCTGATCGATATCTAGTTCACTGATTTGTGTAAAATGAAGAATTCAAAACAGAAAAAACAGGAAGATGCACTAATTCATGTATTATTTACCATATACTTCAGTTGTAATTCCTATTATGGTAAAAACATTTTTAAATGGTTCTTACAGGAAAATTACCATGGAACAAACAGAAGACTTTTAAGCTTTACGAGCTGCACGTAGGAATTTAGTCATACCTGAGCCGTGTTCAGTAACGCAGAACACCTAAGTTAGAATTCTGAATGACTTAGTGGGCGGAGCTAAGAATGTTCTGAGCATCATTGAACGTTTATTCTTAGACAACTGGGCAAAATGGTGGACGAAGTTAAATCATGATCGCAACGATTGTCGCAAACGAATTGGTCGAAAAGGATGAAGTAACCAATACAATTATTCAAATGGAAGCTGCATCAGATCGTGATGAAATTAATGAAGCAATCATTAATTGTCATTAACGAAATGGACCGCTGTTTTCCGTTAAAATGTATTTGGAATCTCTAATACCGACATGTGATAATTTTACATTTCGAAGTCATTTTAGAATGAGAGAATAACTTTGTGATGATTACAATAAAATACGTTTAATCCAACATGTGCCGAGACAAAAACAATGACGTCACTAGTAGAAATTAGCATAGATAAAAGAAGCTGACTGAACTAGCTTAGAATTCTAGCGGTGTGAGGAGTCAAGCAGCGGTTAGAAACGAGTTCAACATCACAGCATAACTAGACTTAGCAAGAATTATGCGTTACTGAACACGGTCCTGGAGTCTGTTTAGCAGTTTAACTAAATTGCTGTTGTCTATGGGACGATTTACAGTACTGGTATTAAAACGAACTAACGTTTTGTTCATAAACAATTTATGTTGTAGACAACAACTCTTTAGACACTGAAGCCGTGAGTCCAAAGAGGGATTGGAAAATTGCCAATCCGAAATGCGTTGTTAAATAGGCGAAATAAAGAGAACTGTTTTAATCTTTGTGATGGGACTCCTAACTAACTGGTAGGATCACTTATGGCTTCCTTCCTAATCTCCAATCCAGAAGGAACATGGACTTTTACATCTCAAACTATCACTCGACTCAATGTCACAGGACACAGGAATTTCAAAGGCTACCTACGCAGGTTCCTTCTCAAAAGCGATGAATTGTGCGGCTACCACTGGCCTTGCACTGCCCGGACTTCTTCGACACCAAGAACACCTTTGCGGCCTTCTCTGCCTTCATTAAAAAGTCAGCAGTTACCCTCCCGGACTTCACCTGTAGTGGGCCCACTAGCCAACCTCCACCTGCTTGACGCCGTTTCTTCAAGGCTTCCAGCATGAAGCCCACTTTTGTTTGTCTCCCGTGTTCATTTTCTTTTGCGTTTTGGTGCCTGTATTTGCGCGTCGCGCCTGTTCTGTTTTTGTCATACGTAGTGTTGTGTTTCCATCACGCCTTTGTCCTGTTTTGTCACAGGTAGCGCCTGTCTTGCTGTAACTGTTATCATTTTTGCAGTGTCTATCCACTGCCTTATCCTTCGAGCAACCTAATATCTATATTCAGCTGGGCTGCGACCAATGTTCCCTCTAATTTTTTTTGAAGATGAGCGGAACATATACTTCTCTGAGCAAAAAATTTTCTGAGCATATATATAAAATCTTATTTTCTCCTATAAAAATTAAAATAATTAATTATAAAGTAGAGATTAAAATTCATTTTAAAACATACTTTTATACAAAATATTATCTTTTGTCAATGATTTAATGTATTTAATCGAAATATACGCGGCAATAATCATGTTGCAGACAGAATGAGAAATAAGTAAACAACAATTCAAATCAGTGTGTGCATGCTCGCCTGTGCGGCACATAAATTCTCGTGAGCGGCAACAATTTGAGCAGTGCGCGGCCGCGCAGCTTAGAGGGAACATTGGCTGCGACCCACACTGTGTACATAAATTTTTGTTAGGCCAGTAACGGAACCTGGTTGCCTGTTCGGGTGACTTACTTCCCACTTTCCTATATCTTTCCCCCTCCCCCTACTTGCTCTTTCCTCTCTCCCCCATCCTCATAATCCTTCACTTCAAAGGCTAAGC